TCAGGTATTGGGTCGAAGAAGAGACGTGGATTATCTACTTCCTCTTTTTCGTTCTCTTCGTTCGCTTCGCGTGGCTGGAGGGCTTTGGCTGGGCGGTTTGCTCGTTCAAGGGCGGCGTACTGATCGTGAATTGGTATAGCTGGTAAATGGAGTCGAGAACGAGTGGATACCCCTGGGGGTTGTTGCGAGAAATCTGCTCGAAGAATCGTTCGATCTGGTGAGTCGTCACATTCGCTAGCGGATGATTCGTCGTTGGAGAAGTATTCTTCTTCCCGGAACTGGACTTCTTCTTCTGCGGCATTAGCGTGAGACATTAGCTGCGTAGCGTACGTACCGGTTTACGACATAACAATCACTGGTGGAGAGGGTTGTAAGGTGTCCAAGTAATCCGAAAATACGTAAATAAATGATGGAAAGGTCACAAAAGTATCGCGGTATATAAAGATACTTTTTCAAAAAGAAAACAAAATTTGTCATGGGCACTCGTGTTAACTGAGTAAAACAGTCAACGGCCCTGGAGCCACCAAGTTGTTACGTGCTTATTTCGTAAAGGCGCGGATGTTACTGTGAGCTTTAATGATAGAATAAGCTGAAGGATACAAATGTCAGCCGGCGCTTTATAAGCCGAGCTGAGTTCCAAAACACATATAAATAGATTAGGGCAGGCGCAAGAAAGATACTTCTATGATACACATATAAGGAGATATTATTAATAGTTAAGCTAATGTATACTCGTAACAAGTCTTTGTTTTGCTTGCACCAGTAATTTTGATTTGGCCTTATAGACTGTACAAAGTTTAATGACATGACCGAGGACGAGGAACTGTTTTTTGTTGTTGTTTGCTTTCAAGCTTGCTAAGCGGAAATTATTCGCAATGCTGTTCAATATGATTACATGAATAACCCTATAAAGACGCAGTGTCGTAGACCTTGTTCATTTGGAAATGGTAATGTTCACAATAATGTTTGAGCCGGTAATGTTTTTAACTGCCCTCTAATCACAATATCAACAATATTATTCGTTGGCGGCAAGTGGGAGCAAAAGCTGGATAATAATGCTAGAAAGTAGAAGCAAAGAACGATGTCATAGAGTGGCCGGTATATTGAATTTGCAAAACCCAAATTAATCAAGGTGGCGCTAATCACATAAACGCAAACACGAGGTAATATAATATTACTGTACGGTATATATGTAAATTGATACGCATTCAGGGCTGTGACATTTTACTACTACTATTTTAATCCGGAAATAACAGCGGACTAATGTGGGACAAAATGGTTAACATAGGGATAACAACAAAGAAACGTATTCTATTATTATTACAGTTCAGTATTACCGTATTTCCAGGGCCGCGTCTTTGCTCTCGTTGTTACCATGATTCAGCATGAAAATCTCTTGTTTGCTATACGATAGGCATTAATTACATGTATAACTGAGCACATTAAAGTCATACCTCCGCCATTCATGTGACAAAAACTGTATTCATCCTCTCAAAAACCCAAACAGCAAAGCTAATAAATATGTGCGATATCTAACACTGTCCGTTCAAATACTTTTCCGGTAGTTGACTATAACTATAGCTAAAAACATCTGTGATAGAAAAAAACACGTGCAATAGAAGTGGCCTCTTGAAGACTGCTCACAGTTTAAGGGGCAACAAATGCAAGCTTCGATACTAAGTTAAAGTGTGGTGGTAAAACCAACAGGATAAGAAATGGTACATATGGTAAAAGCGGACTGAAACGTCTGAACACAACTATGAATATTTTTGCGTAACATTTATTCCAGCTACGTTTGTGTAATGAAGTGCCCGTAAAGATCGAGTGGGTAGCACAAAGAGCGTACGTTTCCGGAAGTACAGCAAAAAAAACCCGACCTCGCTGCCCTAGTAATGTTATCAACGGGCTGGTGTTTGCACCAAAACCAACAAACAAGCGGGAGTTACTGTAATGGCTACGACTTTGGTTTATTTACAATAATAAACCATTTCTGCACTTTCACGGGTTCCCCGCCCGACATACCTGAAGGCGGAAGCACACTGTGTTTCCAGAAAAATCTCGCTGTACAAAGTGTTTTTAGTTTAGCCCTTCATCCTTATTATTCATTTCATAACTCCTGTGGCAGCATGCGGTGTTCTTTAAAGGTCGGTGCGCCTGGCTTGCAAGTTGTATGGGAGAAACATTCAGATGAATAGGTAAATTATGCAACGGCTTAAAATTAGTTAACAACCGATGCATGTAAACGCGTTTTAAAAATTAAGGCTTATTGTGGGTGAAACCGTTATTATGAAAAGCTAGAGTAGCACTGTATATGCTACTCGGCAGCCCCAATCCGCCTCGAGAATGCAGTGGTAAAAAATGAAGTAAAAAGATAGCAAGCGTCTTTCCATTAACCATTGGTAATGCAGCTTAAAATCCCAGTCTGGGAATGTTTTTCCTTTGCTGCCTCCAGCATTTCATTGGTGAAAACAGATGACAAATTTTTAACGAACCTGTATATTGTTCACTTTGCCTAACCAAAGCAATATTTTGTTTTACAAAAACCCCATGTGATTATTTCTTTAATGATAATCGGGCTATGTTTTTAGCGGTTTCGAATGGAAATAAAAGTTGGGTTCTGCTGTACAGAATGTATGCAGGATTCTTGCCAACTGCGAGAGTTATTGTATCTACAGATTCTATATTCTATACACGGAGTACATTGTGTTCACAAATGACAGCGAAACTTGACGTGCTGTCATTTACTACCTCCAAACATCCGAACCGCATGTCATTTGAGGCTTGATCAGCCGTTCAGCGGTTTCCGCTAACCGTGTCTGCTTATGTGGTACTTTTCGGGTCTACGCAGCTAACCATGATCAGCTTTATTTTTAATGCCGCTGTAACGGCAGAAGGATGTTACGGTTTTCGGACAGAACGCACAGGAAAAAGCTAATTTAACTGGAATAAAATAGAAACTGCAGTGTAAGCCTACGTGACCCAAAAGGTTTCGATTATTCCAAACGGTTTGAACAAAGCCGGTTGACGCATTCCACAACACACTAATAGCGCGTCTCTCCCTAGGGAATCTATGTTTTGATGGCGGATAAAACTCTTGTCTTTTATTTAACTGTTTGGAGAAACTTCTGGATACCCCGACATGTTGATTTGAATAGGATTCTTTATGCGCAGCTGGTTGTCCATGAGCAATTTATACGGTCGATTAACCTGGTCTTGTGGTACATCCCTTCCAAACAATTAAGCCGATCTTACGGCCCTGTCCGCCCACTTTTGTGTGACGGAATGTTTACCAAATTAAATTCCGCTTTACATTGCAGTTAGTATTTGAAAAATGTGGGTGCTGCAATTGCCGTAATGGGTCGTAAGAGCATCAAGAGGAGGATCAGTTAAGAGCAAAACTCGAATTAACGGAATCGCCTTTCTTGGGTTGTAGAAACATTTCTTGCTCTTTCACTGCTACGTAAAACACTTACATGTAATTGTGTTATATTTATAAATGCATTCGTAAGGAAGTAGTTTGCTCGAGCCTGTATTTATGATATCCTGATGGGTACTGCCTTTTGAAACCGCTGCGAGATACGAAAAATGAACAACACTTCGTTTGACATAATTACGACTGTAGTGAACGATACCACCTCATGGAATTTCGCAGCCGTTGGCCGTTGTACCTTATGTATCTTCCAGCTGCTTTTCAACATCACCATGTTATGCGTCTTCATCTTCCAACCAGGACTGCGGACATCTTTCACCGTCTACATCATGGCGCTGCTATCCTGTAATATTTTTTATTCCGCCGGCGAATATCCGCTGGAAATCCTGCGTCTCACCTATCCCCATTGGTGGATGTCGGAACGAGCTTGCAGTTACTTTTTATACCATATTTGGGTGTTCTGCAGTGTTCCCATGCATATGCACGTCTTAATCACAATCAATCGTTTGTGGGCGATGACCTTTCCGGTATCATATCGTCAAAAACATTCTAATAAGATTGCTATACTGATATGTTTCAGTATGGTGACCTATGTGCATCTACTCTGCTTGCCCGTGTATTTGATGGATGAAATATATTACCGGCGTCCGGCGGAGAAATTTGGCTGCGCTTTGAATATTAAAGAGCAAAATTTGTACAGTGTCTTAGTAGAGCTCCTTGGTTATGATTTGCCGATTGCGTTTGTTGTGTGTTCTTATCCATTTCTCCTGTACAAACACGTTAAACGGACAAGAACGTTGGACACATCTTGGAAAGCTATTGCTGCGTCATCCAAAGCTCCAACAGCAACGAATTTTCACGCAACCAAATCGGTAAGAAAACCACGTAATTTACACATTGAATTGGTTCTGATTTGCGTCGTCATTTTTTTTAGGGTACGTTTCGAAGCACCATGTCGAGTGTTTCGAAAAACAGGAAACATCATCGGAATTCGCCATCTTTCCTGCTCTTAACGCTCCTCACTGTTAGCATCTTGGTGTGCTGGACACCGGATCAGACCTACTGGACGATCGCATGTTTCACGACAATAACAGACATGCCGGTGCTGCGCAATTTTACCATGGTTTTATTTTCGATGCAAGCGGTACTCGATCCGATAATTTTTGCCATGTCTTTGACGGGTTTCCGTCTGTTTTTAGCCCGGATATGCCGATCTGTGTGTCGTATTAAATAGTGATTTATGTTTTCGGTATAGCTTTCCTTACGGTGCAGGCATCAAAAAGCAGGCTGTTACGATCATTAATAACGCTTTTTGCTCTTAAACAATTAGGCTTCTTCGTTTGTAAAAATTGACCTCTCCATTCGATTGGTAATAAACTGTGCGAGAACTGGTAGCTCGTTCGGCCTTTCACATGAGTTTGGTAATATCGTAAATGCCGGTCTCCTGGGTTTACACAGAGCAGAGAAGCGCAGTCCATTACCTATTGAAAACACTTTCAAAAGAAGTATATTAATTTGTTTAAGTAAGCGATGCAGCGTTCAGTGTCGCCTTCTTGACATTTCCGTTTCGGAGCCTACAATTCTGAATTCAGTACAGAAACGAGCACTGAGAATAATCTCCAGTCCCACATCACAGTAGCAACTCGTTCCTCAGCGGATGTTTTTGTAAAAACACTGTTTCCGGCCTAATTGCCATTAAAGTCTCATTTTTAAATACTATGCAGCTTATTTACAACGACTGGGCAAAAGGAGAATGTTTCCGCATGTTTCAAAATTTGCGCTATCGAAAAATCGAGACTGCCTTGCCGGAACAGAAGTTGCAATGGTGCAAAGTTGTAAGGTTGCAGGTCAATCGGGACCTTAACGGGAATTAAGTAACGAAAGACACGCATGAAGCCTTTTTTTGAATCGTTAAGCAGATTGTTAGCTCCGACTCCGGGACCGTTTTCTACTGACGAATGCGGCAGTTACAACAGGACGTCGTTCTGAAACGCAAAAAATACTACCTGTAGAAGTATGTATGTAGTATCTGCCCCGCGAAAATTACAACGATGTCTTACTGTCGTTAATTTCCATAACTGCAGCTGCGCATCCCTTATGGCTAGTGTACCGCGATCCATACGACGTATCCTTTGTTTCCCAGGTGTCCGATGCAAAATCGTAAACCTGCAGCCCGGTAACGGCGTCCATGACGCAAATTTTGTCATTCACAAGAAAGGCAGCGCCATTCTTGTGCGGCTGCGGCTTATCACCTAAACACATCAGTATTAGAACAATCTCATCCGGCAAAACGACCCGGCATGAAAACTTGTGTATTTCTACAAAACCGCTCGAGTAAGTTTCGCGCGCTTCATAAAATTAAAAGGTAATCAACTTAATTTGCTAAGCGGATGGGTTTCCCGCTTATCGGTGCTGTACCTAATCGGATCCATTCGCAAGTGCTCGCATTGAACGTTTCGTTTGAGTAAGTTGAACGTTTCGTTTGAGTAAGTTTCGCGTGCTTCATAAAATTAAAAGGTAATCAACTTAATTTGCTAAGCGGATGGGTTTCCCGCTTATCGGTGCTGTACCTAATCGGATCCATTCGCAAGTGCTCGCATTGAACGTTTCTACGCGACAAGGTGTGTCTTCGCCTCCTAAACCACATACAAACAAACCATAACATATAGCGCTAATAAACCACATTTCCGCAATTAATGAAAGATAAGCCATAATGATGCTTATGTTTCTCTAAATCGATGTGCTCCAGGTTTTTTTTCTGTTCTCTCAGTCTACGAAGACGCCAGCCAATACCCACCGATAATGTAAATGAGACCATCAGGCCCAACACATGCCGAGCAGCCATAACGTCTCTCCGGCATCTTACCCACTTCGCGCCATTCGTTGCGCTCCGGGTCGAAACACAGAACAGAGCATAGACCTTTGACTTTCTCCCGATCTTTCCACAAAGCGCCTCCAAACGCGTATAAATTATCTCCGCACGCCACCAGGCCAAAACTGTGCATCGCCACCGGCAAACTGGCCACGTAGCGCCATGCATTCGCGGCTGGTTCGTAGCACTCCACGGTGGCCAAATCTTGCGTATCGGACACACGGCCACCGACAGCGTAGATGCGATTATCCAGTGCAGCCAGGGCGAATCGTTCACGCACAGTCTGCATACTGGCGACCTTTACCCATCTTTTGCCGGTACCCAGTTTGTAGAATGGATCATAGCGGTGCACATCCGCGGTAGTACAATAGCAAGAACTATTATGATGTGAGCGACCGCCGCACACAAATAACGAGTTATCTTCCGTAACGACGGCACCGCAGTCGCTCACGTGATAGGGAAAAGACGTTGAATGTTCCCGCGCTTTGTGGATATCGGGATCGAGAGGACATAAAAACGCTACCGTGTCCAAAATTCGTGGATGTCGGAAGTAATTCTCCCCGCCGATGCATACGACTACCTTCTTTGTTTCTACAATAATAAAGCATTTACTGTTAATTGAATCCCAGTACAACAGCAGATGTTTTAACCGTATGATGCTCGTGACTGGCGCTGCAAATTTTGGATATAGCGGTTCGCCATAATTTCCGTTAACGAGCAATCTACGCCAAGGCCAGTCTCCAGTAGAGGCTTTATAGATCGATAGCGCTCTAGATTCTTCTGGCTGAGAAATGGCCACCGAACGAATTGCAGGATTTCCGTTTGGTGGGCGCCTCGTTCCGCAGTTTTATGGTCTAACCAGCGCATCACGACGTCAAAGACCACATTCTCATTGGGCACAATTAGTTCGTCGGAACTTAGAAGCTTCATAATCTACAGATATGTATAATATTATAGCATTCAGTAAACCATTTGTGAAAAAATTAGGTATTCAAAGATAACTAATGGGCTACTTACGTTACTTCATCAGAATACTTTTCAGACCGTATTCGTTTATGTACTCTGTATTTCTCTAGCCAACACACACCAGGTCTTTTTGCAGCTGAAGAAAATCGCTTTTCTGCGATAGCTCACAAAAGTGCTGATCAGCAAACATTCGAGCTTTTTTGACTATTTTGGCGTGCTTTTGGCTTGTCCGGTCAGGAAAGCGGAGGACTGTTAGGCAGTTCATTTCATCCATGTTTTGGTCAAAAAAATCCCAACATGCATCCACAGCGGAGTCCATTTCTAGCAGGCGGGCCGCTTCAAGAAGCGTGATAACGTTATGACGGCTGATTTCGATCTCCGCGCCGTACGCGTACATTATCAAACTGCGTATATAAGCATTCTGCTAACGGCGGGTGTAGCTTAACAGTGGAAAAAGCTTAAAAGCATTACAATTTTGCTTACTCGTAAAGTGTTCTTTTGGAGACCGTGCCTAGCCGAATTTCTTGCTGTGCAGAATTTTTCCAACCCAACAACAGCTTTCGCCGGATATAGCCACTGCACGCACTCAGAACAGCGCTATGGCCATCATATCCACGTACTGAATCGTAGCCTCTTACGATGACATCGCAAAACGTTCCACTACGACGAAAATCCCGTAGACTCCCAAAAACCGGCTCCGAACTAATACGGACCCGGCTGCGTAGTTCCGGTTCGTATTCAGCTTTGACTGGGCAAATTGCGTCAGCGTCCATGATTGCTGCAGATTTGCTACGTTACAGTATTTACTGTTCATCTTAATGTTAACTAAGGCTAAGCCACCATGTTGCAGTTTTGAGCAATTGCATGTACTGAAGAACGGGTGTCAGTGCAAGTAAAAGCGGTTGTAAGTGCTGTACTGTTCCAAAATCAGTCTTTATCCGATTTCCACATGAATAGGCGCTGTTATTGGTACCTGTGTTATCATTTTCAGGTTTATCAACCACCATTAACTGTAGGCACTTTAAATTTTCGATACAAGAACAACATGTGTGATAAACGCAGTCAAAAACGTAATTGGCGTAATTCATTCAGTACTAAACCATGTTGTTCGTAATCGTACGTGTTCTGGTATTACACTACATACCGTATTAGTTGTTCCTCCGTTACCAGTAAAATACAAATTAATGTCGTTGTCTTCTTCTGTGGTCGTTAATCTTCTCCCCATTTTATCTGCAATCCACGCAGCCCTCGATCCAATAATTCTTGTCGTGTCTTTGACGGGTTTCCGTTTATTTTCAACACGGACGAGTGTTATGTTAAATAGTTTTTTTAGTTGTCAGGTCACTGTCATTACTGCAGCTGGTTCACTATTATTAATCATGCTTCTTTTTAGTAATTATGTTTTTCCTGTGGTATATTGTGGTTCCTGAACATACCCTTTGCATAAGTACTGCAGTGCATTATGTGACACTTCACGAGTGCGTGCGCGCAATATTTGTGATACCGTGGATATCAGACTCTAATCATAAAATAATATTTCGAAAAGCAGGTCCCACAGCGCAGTATAAACTCGATTCTCTAGAGAAAGTTTATCCGGCTAATTTTAATTATCAGTTTAATTATTGCGAATTGCAAAAATCCTTGCGAAGTTTTGGAAGTTTAAGCCTTCGCAACTGAACTTTTTTTTACGACTGAAACACAGAAATTCTTTCTATCGAATCCCTGGAAAGTTGGATCAGCTCACTGACCGTTTTTTCAGACCCAGTTATTTTCTCAGTTGGGCACGGCGCCGGTGTGGAACGCGGGAATATTCGTTGTACTTACTGCAGGAAAACGTATAGGCGTGTTACGGTTGTCAATTTCCAACACAACAGCTGCGCATCCTTTAGTGTACGGCGGTCCATATATCACGGCCTTCTTTGTTTCCCATGTGTGCAAATCAAAATTGTAAACTTCCAGTCCACTATCGGGGTCCATGACGCAGATTGCGTCATTTACAAGAAAAGCGCCGCCATTTTTATGCGGCTGTAGCATATCGTCTGAAAACACGCTGGTATAGTCAGCAATTAAGAATCTTGGGCTCTACATTTTTTGTTTGGCATCATTGTCCATTTAATAGTTCATTATAGGCGCACCTTTTTGGAACCATTCATACGTTCTCGCATCGAAAGTTTCAACGCAAAAGGGTGTATCTTCTCCACCTAATTTGCAAATCTTTTTTAATAGCCACCAAATGATTTCTGTTGCGCTACATGGATCTCAATCATTTTTACGCGAGTCAACGTGTGCAAAATAATTTAGCGTACGGAATCGTACTTTTGCGTTTGACCTAACAGGCTAGAGATGCTCTGAGTAATTCATACCGAAGACGTATATCAAGCCATCCGGACCAACGCAAGCCGAGCATCCATAACGTCCTAACCGCATTTTCCCCACTTCACTCCATTCATCCCTGTCCGGATCGTAACACAGGACAGACCGCACAACATAAAGATTTCGCTGGCCGATCCACACAGCGCCCCCGATTGTGTATAATCGACCACCACACGCCACAAGGGCGAAACTGTGCATGGCAATGGGCAAGCTAGCCACATAACGCCATGTATTCGTGGAAGGATCGTAACACTCCACGGTTTTCAAATCTTGCGTATCGGTCACTCGCCCACCAACAGCATAGATACGATTCTTTATCGAAGCCATGGCGAATCGCTCACGCGGCGTATGCAAATCGGCGACCTTTATCCATCCATTCCCATAATGGTAAGAGTGCGGATCATGATATGGATCGTAACGGTATGCGTGCGAAACAGCACGATAACAGTGGCTCTGATAATGCGAGCGACCGCCGCATACAAATAATGCGTTATCTTCCGTAACAGTAACACCGGCATCGCTAATATTATAAGGGAATGACGAACTGCTCCATGATTTTGATACATCTGGAGTAAGGTGTAGGAATTCCACTGTGTTCAGCAGTTGCGGGTGTCGAAACCTGTTTTCCCCTCCGATGCTTACGATAACCCTCTTCATTTCTGCAACACAGAGTTATTTAAATGATAAATATATTGCAGTTTAATTTAAGCTAATGTCTAACCGTATGAAGTTCGCGGGCGACGCTGCGATGACTTAATAACTAGGTTTCTCATAAGTTCCCTTAAGGAACACTCATCTTTAAGTCCGGTATACCAAAGAGGTCTTATTGACCGGTAGCAACTTAGGTTTTTCTGGTTGAGAAAGGGCCAACGCACGAACTGTAGGATCTCCCTTCGATAGGCTAGCCGTTCCCCCGTGTTATTGTCCACCCATCGCATCACGGCTTCGAAGACGATATTCTCATTCGCCACGCTGAGTTCATTGGAATTTAGCAACTTTTCAAGCTACAACAAGCTACGTCGGTAATACGATTTGGGGCACCTCGGCTCGGTTTAGGCTAAAAACCGAATTGAGGCCTTCTTCAAGGAAAATATTTCTAATCAAGTTTCTGTATTAAACAATTTTATATTAACCATATCCGAGTTACTCAAGCCAATACATACCACTTTCTTATCCAGATGCAAAAAATCGTTAGTCCGTGTTAGCTCAAAAAAATTCTGATAAGCAAATGCTATAGCTTTCGTGGTTGTTTTGGCGTGCGTTTGGCTTGTCTGATCAGGGAAACGAAGAACTGTTAGGCAGTTTGTTACATCCATATTTTTTTCCAGAAAGTCCCAACAGGCATCCGCAACTGAGTCCATTTCCAGGACACGGGCGGCTTCAAGAAGCGGCACAACATTATGGCGGTTGATTTCTATCTCCTCCGAGTATGCATACATAATCAAACTGCGTTATAGAACATTCCGTTACCGACAGCTGTAGTGTAAAAATGGACGAAATTAATTATTTTATGAGTATCAATCTCGCTTACTCATAAAGTGTCCTGACTGCGATCGTCTCCAGTCGGATTTCTTGTCTTGTAGAACTTCTCCAGCCGAGAAACAACTTTCGCCGAAAATATCCACTGCATGCACTGAGCACTACACTATGGCAATCGTATCCACGCATGGAATCGTAGCCTAGTACAACGACATCGCAAAACGCTCCACTGCGACGGAAATCCTGCAGGGTTTCAAAAACCGGTGCCAAACTGATACGGATCCGACTGCACTGTTCAAGTTCGGGTCCTGTCTTGATTGGACTAGTTACGCCGGCGTCCATTTTTGCGCTTGGATTTAAAATTTGGAAACCAGTTTTGCTATTTAAAATGCTGCGCCCTAGATCGACGTGTTTATGGCAGAAACATAAGATAGATTAAGGTAACTGTAAAATTTAATAGTATTCTTGAGAACAGAACTTACTATAGCGCATGTATCTGTACTGGGAAACGATTATCAGTTCTGTGCAATATGGTGTTACAAACGGTGCGATGCTCCTTTTGCATTATAGGCAGTACACTACAGTAGTTGTAGCGTATATCAGAGTTGGGCTTATCACTACCTTGTTTATCGGCTTCCACTGACTATAGCCATTGTGATAAACTAATAAATCAAAGCAAATACAGTAATTGTGATAAACTAAGACATCTGATATGGTTTGTGTAAGAGCGATGTTGGAGTTCTTTAAATGCGTCTGTATGCCATGGTATTTGTACAATTGTACAATGTACATACGATACAAGTGTTGTTGTATCATGTATGAAACAGTACCTGAATTAGCGTATCACAGAAGAAGCCAAAAATTTAATTTTATGTTTGTCTTCACAATTTATTGGCCGCTCCGCTCGTTGCGGAGTTCAGGTGACCCAGAATGTATTCATAATTCCCTTTCCCTAATTACAGATCAGTTCTCAGAATTGATTAAACGGCCAGCACAGAGACCAAGCGATTGGACAATTTAAGTATAGGTTCTGCAGTTGTTGCTTGGCCACATTTCTAGCAGACAGTCGGATCTGACTCGAGGGCATGATGACATCAGTAATCCAGGTAACCAAAATTCAAACTAACAATTATGGTCACGAAATTGCAACAAAGCCGGAAATGCTTGAAATTAATTGCAGTTTCCTTTTTATAAAGACGAAGGCACTGCGCATTGCAAGCGCATATATTTTAAGTATACCAAACGTCCAACACCTCACCAAAGCATTAATAATTCTTGTGATTCCATATTCATACAATGTGCTTTTATCTGTACCGAATCCAACATGATTGCCAAAACTTGGTATACTTCTACTTGTTGTAAGTGGATTACTACTGTACGAGTCAGTCGAGACGCGCTTCTCCATAAATCCCGTCCGCATATCCAATTTTTTGTGCCACTCGTTGCGGAGTTTAGGTGACCCAGAATGTATTCATAATTCCCTTTCCCTAATTACAGATCAGTTAACAATCTAATGTAGCCGTTAGCACAGTTAAATGTTCAGTTCTAATGATCATTGTATATGAGATAGCTGTCAAGTTTACTTTGATCTCCACCGGTCCACGAGCGAAAAATGAAAAACTATATTTGTCAGAATCTGTTAAAGTTGTTGAGTGTCCACGGAAACTTGCAAGCACGTCCCTGCAACAATATTTCCTACAAGTTTTAACATATTTCATCACATTGTGGCGGCTTACCTCTACCGGACGACGCCATCCTTGAGGCGCAGTTAATCGTATCGCCAACCCTACCGATTTATCCCAAAATTTTTAATACCATTTGAATTCTAATGCAGCAAGATGCCCCTATTACAGTCGTACAGAGAATATCTGGGAAGCTTCGTTCCGACAATCGCCGTCATTACCGGACCTGATGGAGAGAGTCAATAAAATACTGAACCTGCGGTGACAACGGATGGGAAAAATTACCGGTATGAGCACCCGCACGAAGCTGCAACCAATCACGTTTCAGCAGATCGTCTTTTCTGTACAGTTGCAACACCTGCCGCGCAAACTCACATACTTCGGCAGCATGGTGACCGTTATTTCGGTGGGGTACGCCACTAGCAACCTAAAGAGAAACTGAAGTAGGGTTACCGTGAATCTTCGCACTTTTGCAAGTACCATGTGCGTATCGGCAACGACTTCCACACGGTAGACATCGTACTGAGCAATGGTCTTCTCGAACACAACAACCATTTCATTGAGGAACTCTATCAGAGCCACTGGCGGAGACTGCTGAACAAACTCCATGAATCCATCAAAGGACGTAAAGCAGACGGAAGCACTGTCGTAGTACTCGGGAGAAACGCCCAATCCTGCACGTAACTGACGCACAATGGAACTGCAAAATTGCACACATGTTAATTTCAGTAAATTTACGCTAATTTGAAAATTCGGACAGAATTACAGTGGCATCAGCTGTGTGAGCATTTCATCGGCAATCAGCTGCTGACGGCGCAAATCCACGATGCGTTCTCGGACAGCAGCCTCTAGGGCGTCATTATAACGGGATAATCGTTGCACAATCATCTCCGCCATTTGCTTCGGACGAGCACCGACGATCTTCGAATAATTGTTTATAAGCGTCTTTATTCCTGGACGACCGTCTTGTTGCAGACAGTTTTGAATCAGCTCTTGGAGTGGATAGCGGGTCTCCAGAGTGTCTACTGGAGCGTTGACCTTCTCAGGTATAGAGCCGGCTAAAATATTAACAGCGTTTAAGTGAACCAAGGATATTTAAGAAAAGAGGCACTGCTATATTTCGAACGCTATCAATAAGTGCTGACCTTCTTTAATCCATGAAGCCTGGCCCAATATCTGCGCCAGGATTAGGCCGGCGTTAAAGATATCACTGCGCTGTGCTGCCTGCTGGTGATCGTCAGTCCCAATCTCCCAGCGACTGTGACGTTTCTGAGATTTCCGATTCGTTGCATTGTGCTCAGCGGTCTTTATCTCCTTTAGCAATCGGTCATAACCTAACTTGCAAATTTTCAGGGTGAAATATTTGTCCACACAACACGAAGTGATGGATAAAGTTCCGTGGTATGCTATTGAGGAGCTGTGTATAGCTTCAATGCCCTTTAAAAACAGCTGCTGAACAAATGACTTCTTGACCTTTTAATGATGTTTTTGTACCTGCAGCAGATCCCATATGAAAGACACCTGCATGAGAGAATCCACAACGTATGTGTTCTGGGTGAGCGCCACCAGGAGCGAGTGTTTATCACAGTATGTACTGACGAACACGATCTGCTGTTCGTCTAAACGGCAGATGCCCATAAAGCGGTTGATGCTTGAGCAATTGGCCAGATCCTTCATCTGCAAAGCATTTTGTTAAAGGGGAATTCCTTCCATCATGCGCAACCGTACTCTGCACCATATTGAGAAGAAAGCTTATATTGGCAGAGCGCATTGTAGCAAGGATTATTGTCGATTCGACCTTGTACAAATGAACTCTGGTTCCCGAAAACTGGGCGATCGAACTGTGGCTCTGCAATAGCGATAAGAACACTATCATACAGTAAAAATAGTGCTTCACATGTTAGGCTCAAGCGAGACTCATTTGGATGATCGCGCGTTTGTTAAGGCAGAGCGTTGTTAATAAAATAATTTAATACACATCTCAGTTTAAAACGACACAATATATTTTTGAAACATACTCTTTTAGTTGATGAATCAGTAATCGTAGTGGAGAAATCGTTGTACAAAGTCAGGTTGCCTGCATCCAAAATCCACCAGTGTTTATTCCTCGCCGCTTGCCTGTGTTCGGGGACGTTCGTCTTTACACAATAGTAATTTTGATTAATAATTATAAAAGCATCTTGCTAACCGTCCATAATAAACGCCAGCAGTGGTGAAGAGAAGCAGCGATACGGCCAGGCCGACAATTACCGCCACCGCTATAAGTGTCACGTTGTCTGCGCAAAACATTTCTAATGATACACAAAGCCGCAGTTAAATCCCACGAAGAACAGCCGTACCACTGCTTTGGCACGTTCTTTTATTGTTGAGGAAACCACAAAGCGGTTCATCCGGGGGTGCAATTAACTGAGATGGCCCCCAATCGATTTCCTTGTCTACGCTGATGTGATAAACGTCCTTGACGATGTCGCCGAATATCGCATCCTGTGTAACAAACGAGCAGGTAAGGAATCAAATGTATCTATGGTAATGTATCTAACTATCTATATCTAACTATCTATGGTTTATGAAACTGAAGCATTTGCCGGAAATATAATCAGCAAACAGCATGATTTTAATTCTGGAGTAAAACGAAAAGTAGAATAACATCCTACAATTGCAACAGCCTCATATTTATGAACAAGCAAATTTATGCAATGTCATTCTTTTTATGCAACATATTTATATTATGTAAAGGCTAATTTTTACTGTTCGGAACTAAATCGCGAAATAATAACAAAAACATTGCCCACGTTGACCTCAAATATGCCGGTTGTTGCGTTGAAATCCTTCATCACCATGGGTGTTAACCGTCGCCCGTAGGAATCGACGTAGAACTGCGAGTAATCGCTTTGGAATGTTCGGTTGTAGAAGAGTCGTGCTATGCGACGACCATCCATGAGGGATATGTTTCGTGCAACTGCCTCGTCGAGGATCTGTAAGAGATACACTAATAATTTTCAGAGCAATAATTTTCAGTGCACCTCGCGTTTCGACCTTCGGTTTAGTGATTAGCCGCAATTACAAAAAAAATTACTGAATGGATAAACAGATTTATGAAATGTCAAGCAGTACGACGCGCTACCGATTATACCGTTGCCAGTGCCGATAGTGCCTCAAAATCCACAATGTTGTACAACTTCTGTAATATGCAGGTACTGTTAACAAACTATACATGTCAAATTTCAAAACAAGGCGCGCTGCAATCACGTACTGAATTGTCCAGAAGAGATTTGCGCGCAACGTCCCGATCATGTAACAGTTGCTGTATGTAATCGCTTCCAACTGTTATTGTTGTCTGATTGTTGAAGTTCTCTAAAGATGCTTGGCTGTAGGGGACTTTTATCGTCATGACGAACAACACCCGAAAAGCTGCGGTTAAAATCTGTAACATTATAGAAACCTTGTATATACCACCAGTGAGCCGAAACAATTAGTAGAAAATTATCTTACTATCAAGTCAGTATCATTCGATGGCATCCAGTTTAGAAAGGCGTCCGGCTGTTCCTGCACCGTAATAAATGCCTAGCAAAAGTACTGTTATGCCGAATAATTAAAATTATAATTACATTGGACAGAAAATTTTACGAGACTTCACGTTACTGTTCTTACATAGTCTCCATTCGTCATATTCTCTTGATAAGCGGCTACCTAAGCAGCGCAAGGTATTTATCTGTTGTATTCATAAAAAGCAGAGCGCGTTAGCCGCATTGACAAACTGTACCACTTTTTACCATTATCTTCTTAACGGTGTCGGGCAGTGTGGAAAGAATGACAACTGCAAAAAAAGAAAGAAAAGGTCAAAGGTGAAATCGGCTACAAGAATAAGTAAACGGAATCGTATGTCTTTGTAGCTTTCTCTTACTGCGCGCAAGTGGGCGAACGTGAGCCAGCAACTCCTTTGGGCTGAGCTCGCTTGAATTGAACTTAATGAAATACGGCACGAAACTCCGTTGTTTCTGCAGCATTTCCTGAGCACTAGAGCAGCGCCCGGAGGGAAACGCCGACTGCGTTTGATCCTGATCACACAACCACACACTGGTCTTCCAACTGAACCACGAACATACGCCAACAAAGCCATCAAAAGAGCTCTGTGGGCGGTAAGACATGGACACGATCGTCGGATACCGCTGCGGTGTGATAACGAAGTTGTTCCCCAAGCTAAACATCGTGCAGACATGTGACCTGGTCTGGTGAACTGCCATTCTTTCCGAAATAAATGATACTTACGTTGTCATGAATAAAGTATTCCATTCTGTATCGAACACAAACATTAATAATAATAATATTAAGTAAAACGTTAACGAAATAAATGCTTGTCCCAAGCAACGGGTTATTTTAAAGTACCTCTCACAATGGCTCCTAGCTCCAAAATCTCTTGAAAGCATCCTTATAAGAGAAAGTGTTCCATAGACTTATCGCCTTACACAGAATTTAAAGCAAGCCTGGATAATTACAGCAGCCTGGTATTTTTAATGATAATTACAATTATACGGATTATAATCATATCGTTAATTACAATAGTTTACTATTTTTTTCACACAACTGTTTGAGGAAGCGCTTCGTCGGTTAATATTTATTAAACAGTCGCGCATGGTTTGTTTTGATTCTGTTCTCTGTCGTACCTGGACTGGCAAACGCAACGGCTTGTCCACTGGCGGCATAAAACACCTTCGACGCCCAATTGACCACTCGCGACGCCACATCAGCACACTGCGACACATTGCGTTGCCACAGAAACTGATATGTAATATTAATCCGGTCGCGTAGCTGTTCCTGCAGCTGCTGATAACCCAGAAGGAACCCGCGAATATGCCAGGGAATCTGGTGCTGTACAGCATCATAGGCTAGCACCGTCACAATCGTCAGGTTCGGTGGTGAACACACACAGAAACGCAGGATGATCAACAAAGCCGCAGAGCGCATCATGGTGGATTAAATTTGACCCGACATATTTCCCTGACTGTGTATATCTGTGTGGGGAAGGTGTAGCAGCCGGATTAAGGATGCAACAATTACGCTGGTCGTTTACGTAATCAACATCGTCTCCAGGGACATTGATGGTTAGCGTCTTGAGCTGCCGCTAACCGGGTTGTAATTAGGTTGTATTCAGCGTTGTCATGCGCGTTATTGTATGCGCCTTTAAGTGCTTAAAGCTAAAGATAAACAGTTCAAGGGATCGGTGTGGATGGAATTATGGAATAGCCGGTGACAGGGAGATTAAAATGCCTAATAATTCACGTAATACAAAATACAGATATCAAGGCCTATTTTTCAGCTATAACTACCGTTCGCAACTGTCAGAGCGTAAGAACAGTATTTACTATTTAGTGATATCAATTTTGTTAAACATTTCCTGACCTTGCCAACAAACAGCCTAGGCCTAGACCATCCTAAAGTTACTGGGAGTTTTGGTGCGTGTTCAGTAAATAATTCTGTATTCAGGAAAAACACTCTGGATAAGCCGAACTGATTCCGCAGGATTTCGTTGCAGGATGCCGCGGTTGTTGTTGGGTTGAAATCTTTCATCGCTTTGAATGTTTGTTGTAGAAGAGGATGCCGCAGGATTTCGAAGTGATACCGCAGGATTTTGTTCTTTACTTTGCGTTTGACCCCTTTGGAAATGACATCTAACTTTGTTTTGCACTACTGTCAAAATTAACGCACTTTGTAGCTGCTGTTAGAAGCGCGAGCGATATGCCGGTGGATTTAACGGAATTATGTAAGAAAAAGATAAAGCAACTTAAATTTAGCAGCTGGTTTAGTAGTTTAATTTCTTGTCGTTAAATCATTTCTCGGACAATTGGCTTTATCAGTTTACCATAAAAACTGCGAAAGCGGCTGTGTCAACAAAAAAGGCGCCGGATGACGTTGTACATACCTGCTCAGCTGAATTTAGTGCGAATGTAACATGATAACTTCGGGATTTATTCACAGTTTTTAACTCAATCAGCTGTTCACGATATTTACAACTTAAAGCCTAAATACCAACGACAGTAAAATGCCCATCAGGAATTACTATTAATAAAATTAGTAGGGTAAATTAAGTAGCGAAATTATATGAACAGTTATCAAGAGGGGGACAATTTACAAGGTGACGGGAAAGGAAAGCAAATTCCTGAAAGCGTGCTGAAGTACTCTGCACTCGGGTTGACAAACAGTATTGTGCTTGTGCAGGAAGGTTAAGTAGCTGTACTGCGCCACTGCATACTGCTTATAGTGCAAAACCTATTTCAATAAAGCAATTTACAAGTCAATTCTGAACATAACCGCATGGCACATGCAGCAAAGTGCATTAACCTCATCATCTTGTCACCATCGTCTACCGTGCTGCCTATTTCGAACACCACCACAAGAACGAGTTGTATGTTTGTTTTAAATACGCCCTGAAACTCGTCAAGGACATGGCGAAAATGATGGGATCCATCGCCGCTTGCATGGCGAACAGCACCATGGTCAGCGTCTCCACAGCCGGAAACTCCAGCGCGGTAAAGCAGCCGATGGTCCAGTACACTTCATCCGGCGTCCAGCAGACCAGCACGCTAAAGGTCAACAGCGTCAGCACCAGGAAAGGTCGCATGTTTGCCTTTGGTTTGCTTATGGGAACACTGCTGCTAACTCTTGACCTATTCCCATGCTAAAAACAAAACCACGATTACCGTTTGCCTGAATTGATTACACAGGTACATATCTATTTATCCGAATAGTGGAACTGCTTTCTGGTGCATTTTCTCCAGAAAAAAGTAACATATTCGAATGGTTTCCGCACTATGAAGGGGCACAGAAGGAATGAAGATGGTTCACATTGCTGATAAACGACACAAAAACAACTTTTTCGATGGGTCAGCGAAAGGAAACGTGTCAAAGGGGTCATAAACCTGTTGCTACAGGGCCGCTTACGGAGTACTTTGTTAACGCGACATTGACAATGCGAAAGTACCGTGTATACAAGCTTACCGAAACTGGACCATGCACCTCGATCGTAGGCAGCACTTTGGAATGCGCCCATGCAGATTCACCCGCGATTTTTCCCCGCCTCTTATGCTTGTACAGCAGAAACGGATAAGAAACAACCACTACAACAATTGGAACGTCGTAGCCCATAATTTCCACGAGGGTACAATACAGATTCTGCATCTCTATATTCATCTCACACACGTCCCGACTTCATAAACGGGCCGATGAAAATACAGCTGATCCCGAATATACAGGGGAAGGCAGACAAGATGGACATAGGCCACCATGCCCACGCACATTAAAACCGCGACCTTCGTCGTGTGCTTCTGCCGATAGGAAACGGGAAAGACCACCGCCCAGAGACGGTTGATGGTGATGAGGACGTGCATGTGCATGGTGGCGCTGCAGATGACCCAGAGTTGGTACAGATACAGTCGGCACGCGTGGTCGGACAACCACCAACGGGGGTAAGTCTGACGTATGACTTCTAGTGGATATTCGCCGGCGCTATAAAAAATGTTGAAGGACAACAGGGCCATGATGTAGACGGTGAAGGGTGAGCGTAGCGTTGGATGGAATATAAACACGCACAGCATGGTGCAGTTCAAACATAGCTGCACGATACACAAGGTCAGACGGCCGATGGCGCCGTATGTCCAGGTTTGAGTATCTGTAGCGTTGCCTGTACTGTTTTCCATGTCCCGTAGACGGCGTAGTCCGAATTTAGTAAGTTGGGAAATTGCGTAGACTTTTGTGGCTACGAAAAAAGCTGATTGGAACGCTTGTTGGTCAATTTTCTTTGTATATATATGAGGTCTACTGGCTTGTGGATAATGCCGAGTCAGTTGCGAGCGGAAGTACCGGAGAGCAAACAACGCGTGATCGAGCGTTCTCGTTGCACAACGCTTAATTTCCATGCAAAACCATACCCAAACGCGCGGCTAGATCTTTGAGGTGCATTTAGATGCGCTGAGGAAGCGAAGGCACCTCCGGAATAACAGGAGGTGGAAGAAATGTCAAGTTAGTTATTGGCAGTTGCCGTTGTATTGTTGCGCTGGCCTACAAACGTCACGGCGTTCGTCTAGCGTTATCCGAGTAAAACATTCTATAGTTCAGAACAACACCGCTCAAGCGACTATAATTATACAAATCCCCTGGGTTTGTATATGCACTGAAAGTAAAGTGACGTTTGAACAACAAAGGACGGAATAATGGGAAAGCAAAAATTCTTTTAAACCGATAATTAGGGTGATTGCGTCCGTCAGTTTGAAGCGTTTTGACTGTCGTTCGTGCACCGGAAATTTAGAGATGCGAATGATTTTGTGTGTACTTTGTTTGCTCCAGTTTTACAGAAAGGGTTGTTTTACGTTTGTAGGCCCAAGGCATGAGAATATTGCAGCCAAAACATATGTAATTTGAATTAGTGCTTCGCAAAAGTCGCGCCCTATACGCTCCAGTTTGGCATTATGGTTGCTCGGAGTATAAAACAGAATTCAAGGGCCCAAACTGACGTAACGGTAGGCTGAAACATTGGTCCCAAAATTCTCTTAACTCTGCAAACTGTGCTTACAGGCGCTTCTTCGTTCGCAAACAAACACTTTCCGCTGGTATTTGGTGCATGCATGGTGACTGGACTGGTTCATTGGGAGGATCTGGTTTGCGTGGGGCATTTAACGCACCCGAGGTGAATATTGCAGCGAAGATAGTAGTTGTCCATGAATCCGTTGAATTCGTAACAATATGCTTATGCCAAACCAAATTCTCTTACAATTTAGCTCGCTGATGTCTTTTACACTTTCATTTGATACTAGTTAAACGTTCCTCTTCAACACAGTTCACTACAAGCGCGATGTCATACACAATTTTACGGGGTTTATGTGAGTGATAAACTTTTGCCGGTGTTAGAGTTGTCCTTGTTCTTAAATCTGAGATAAGTAATTATTACTGCTGTCTCTATCGTAATTGCATCCTCAAACAGACAAATAGAGGATCTTTCAGCTAACTGGATAAGTTCATTAGAAAAGTGACCTTTGTGGCATGTACTCTTAGAGGTGGGCGTGTTTTCGAAAAACAACTCCAAGCAGAAAATAGTTTGTTCACCGCAGCTCATCTACTGTGCGTGGGCGGGTTTCTACTGAAATTTTAAGAGATCGGATAGCTGCTAAAGATCTTAGCACCGTTGTCACTTGATCTCGGAATGTCGGTGCTCTTGTGGCCATCAGTAATTCGATATTTACTATTCAGTATTCAAATGATAACAAGGCTACGAATCTTGAGCACGTGCAACCGGTGCAGATGATTTAGAGCTCAGTGATAATAGTTGCTCTTCAGTAATACGAGCTTCAATCGTTGAGAGAAAAGGAGCTAACAATAGACGTCGCTCGGTAATTTAGCGACTTCCGGCTGCGGTGCGTTTGCTTGCAGGGACAATCTTGAATCTAAACTCGAAAAGGTTGACGTACATGTTGTATTTGGAACAACAAATGTAAAAAGGATTTCCAGCGATTTTGAATTGGGAGCACAAGGACTTCACTTGTCATAGATGTATTATATTATTTAACTTACTGTATCATGGTGTTCTTATTTGTCTTTTTACATCTTCGTCCGTGGTCCAGATCCAGTTGAGCAACCAGCCACCATTGACAAACCCCAGTCAGCCGAAACAGGCGAGGCTAAAACGGAACTTATCGTCCGTTCTAACCTCGAGAAGTCCTTGTTGTGGTAGATATTCGGTCGGCACTGCAACTAATGCGGAACTCTGGTGGCTTTCAATGCCAACTGTCATCCACATCAGTTGCAGGGCCGAATAGCGCAGCCTGTCGAATTCAGACACACCAACTGCGTCTTTAATACATTTCCGCGTGGTACAGTTATTGAGCCTGTTATTTAAAGGTAAAGTCCTGATGCTGCTTCGCCAGGGATATTTGTGAAGATTCTATCCTTTGCTCTGTGGACAGCCGGAAAGCTTCGCCAAGTTCGTTTTGTGGAAACGCAGCGGGCATTGCCCGTACATTCAGTAAGAGCATTATTCTCTGATAAGTTTCCGGCTCTGTGTAGCCGGAAACTACGAAGAGGAGAATGCCTTTACGTTACAAGGATTCGATTTTCAGATATTTTACCTCACTGGCCAAAGTGTAGCTCTCCAGCGTTTGTATGGTATACTTCTGTCAATTCTTGCTTCAAAAAACACCTTACTTTTTCAAGGTATAAAGGCGCACTTAAGTTTGTATTCTTTACATGATGCTTGTGCGTGTACAGTATGTTCTTGTGAGATTTGCGAATACGTATTGCATTCAGTAAGTCGTGTCTGTTGTACATAAATGCGAGCATGAATTTGACCTTTACAGCTATAACTACAGAACCCATACATTATTTTGAAAGGTCAGTTCTATATCATACATTTGTTAATAGATTGACCTTCAACAGATCTTTAAACTGGTTCTTAATCAAGTAGCGCATGTGTTCTTAATCAGAAGATATGCCTGCCAAATTATTCCGAAAACGATTAACTTTTACTTCCATAACAAACCGGCTTTGTTTTGTTTCTGATTACTTTTGATCAGAATCGATCGTACTGAAAATTAGAAACTGATCAACGAAATACAGCGTATCCTATTTAACAGTTACCATTTACCAGTTATCACTATTCAGAAAACGGGTAATAATATTATACTAAATGGGTGATATTGCTGTATGTCATATACTGATAAAAGAGCTCGGTATCGCAACGATCAGTCCAGGAGCGCATGTGACTGCAGCGGCGCTGCCTGCCTGAGCATGGATAACACGGAAATTTGGTTGTGTGTAATGCAGATATATGCTAGCGACGGATGCCACCACATCTGATTGACGCCCCGCAGTTCAACATCGTTAATATCACTTAGTGAACATGCCCTTTGTACGGGAAACCACGGCGGGCAAATCACCGTGTCCCATATACGCACGTTGTACGCGTAATTCAATCGGCAGCCGCAACCATCCCTAGCGTAGTGTAGCTGGCGAAATGACTGTCAAATTAATATGTGTGCATTTATCGAAAAATATTGTGCTCAGTAGTCAATATGCATAGCAGTAATCTACTAGCATAGCACTTTTTGAAAAATACTATGATCTGCTACGAATCTTGAGCACATACTGCGATTTTATTTTCTCTCCTCTGGTTTTTTAAGCAACGGATGTACGAGGTAGTGAAGACAAATGTAGGATCCCTAATTCATTGCACAGACATAGTTAGATGCTTTTTTGAGAGGACGCAAGAGTAAAAATCAGATCAATTCCTGAAACTGTGAATTTGGGTTGTTAATGCGATTTACTGATGTTACCAGTATTTTGTATCTGTAAGATGCTTAATGAATTACAGTTTGAAATAGGTAAAGCTTTTCACTTCCCGAATAAAACCAAATTTGATGATCGAGGCGTGAGATTCCCTTTTTTACGATATGCTTATTGGTATTTGCTGACAGCTGGCATACTAGTTTACCTGCAATTCGTCGTCTCAAGTCGAAAAATGGTTGTTCAAAATCATTATACGGCTTGGGCCGCTTAAACTACGTTGGAAAAAAGCTGCTATCTGCACCACAAATACCCGTGCACAGGTGCCATATACCGCTCCATCGTTGTTACTGTTATCAGAGCCAGCCAAGTTCAACACAAATACCACTTTGTTTGCTCTACATCCGGTTGAATGAGTTTAGAAGAATGCGCATTATCAGGACAGAAAGTGATAAACAACCTGTGCGCAATTTCTGGTGGCTGCGGTAGCAAACAACAAGCTCTTACATACATTAAGGTTGTAGCATTAGGTGCGTTCATCCGTTCTAATTGATAGAATTGTTCCAGACACAACGTTGTTCGTTGATAGTGATTTCAGTTTACCACAGGTGGTTTTCTGTGACGCAGTATGCAGAAAATGTAGTGATCACATTTCTCTACGTGTTTTCTATGATAAATATTTCATGTTAAAATCATGAAAATCGCTTCTTTTATTATTTTACTAGCGACAGTTGTACTAGTCGCGGGTGGCGTTTACGATAACCCAAGTAAGTTTAAAAAATGCTTAAAAACGAACCAATTAGAAGAAAATTTTAGGCCGAGATTGTAAGAAATATGTATAAGCAGTTTCGTTACAGTTAAAAGTTGTCATTCGAGAAACGACCAACCCGATGTTGATCAAGTGCGTTTCTTGATGGGCTTATCAGCAAATATAAATTACAGATTCAAAGTGTTTGACTGGCACGGGAACTTTTGAACACTGAGTCCGCTTGTTTTTTACAGTCTCACTGACGCACGAGCTATGCACCAGCCACCGTTTACCGGCCATTCGGTGTCCGTCTGGTAAGTACGGTATGGCCGGCACCATCGTATTCCCAGCGCACATCCAACATCACGACTGCCGAGTGTATCTGGCCATACAAGCCGGCTGCCCGCACAATTCATCGGCCGATCAATTCGCCATCTACATCAATGTCAGGTCAGGCAGATCCTGTTGCAACAATTTTAGAGTGGCCCTATTTTTTTACCTTTGTCTTTTGACCGCTAGAATACAGATACCCGATGTTTGGCCGTCGCATAATTAGGGAAGATTCTTATCTACGCTCGTCGCATATTAAGTTTAAAGCGACAACTTTACAATGTTAGCGCCGTGGCGTAATTATGCTGCATGGAAACAACGAGTAGATGATCCGTTGTGATTATTGCTAAGGTTATCACATATACGTGGTGATAACGATTCTGTCGTTGTGTCCGTGTAGAAAAGCTGAGTTATACGGCAACAGCAGTCTAATCATGAGTGACCAAGCTACACAATATAATGCCCTGACCCTGACCGGTGCCGGGCATCACGTCAACAGCGATCCCGAATCCCTGGCCCAGTATATACCATATTATTCGCGTGCACCCAATATTTCGATCACATATCGGAGCGGCTTAACCAACGCCAGTGGCGGCGTACGTGTATATCGGTCCATCACCCTCGACTACATTGTCGTATTAAAGGGTACAAAACTTTTCTTGAACTGCTTTTGTGTAGACTTATTAGTTCCCGAATTTCAGGGGGATTCGGTGACGGCTACACGTACTGTCGCGCTCTCGGTGGGTTTATGGACAACTACTTCCTCTGCAATACGGACAACGGGCGTGTCAATTGCCCCTCGCCGACTTGGTCAAACTACTACGGAAGCTATAATCCAGCGCTGGGTCGACAAGCCTGTCCGCTGGCCACAGAAGCGCCAAGTACCGCGGAAACACCGGAGGTCATTCATCCGCGCGTAGACTACCTGTGGGGCATCGGAGCGGCCGTCGTGTTGGCGGGGGCCATCCTCATTCTGTTGGGAGTATTCTGCTCCTCCAAGAAGGCCCATCGACGTCAAATTCAGTATGCACAGTTCACCAACAATCCGCATTCCGCTGTACTGGACCACGAAAAAGCGCTACCTCAGACTTTGACTCCCGATGATATTAAAGAATCCTTTAAGCCGTACGAGCGAAAAGCGGAGAAGCCAGTCGATGTACCAGTTCATGGGGAATTTTTTTGAACAGAGACTTTGCCCCGTAATGTGTACATACAGACGTTCGAAACAGTGTTCAACTTTTTGCAGCTTTGGACGATTCATTAAAACGTTTTACGTAGGGAGCCGTTTTCCATGTTACAGGACCCCTCACTTCAAGCAGCAAGCATTCTTTTTCGCTCATGTCTTGCCACCATTCCTACGTGTGTAAGACCATGATACGATTATTGAAAATTCTGGTGTAAGATTGAAAAATAATAATATGTGAATGTAATTTTTTGCCGACTATTTGTCTGCGCTGTTTTTGCGTAGTGCCGACTGCTTATTTTTTGAAACTGTTTGCGTGCAGATTTAATACTACGTAAGCGCTTTCAAGCTAGTTAATTATGATGTCATTCGGGAATGAATAGGGTGACTAAATGGTCAGAGTGCAGGTTAGTAGGGAAAACATCCGCGTTTGATGTGTATCTGCGTTTTCCGTGCTTGTATAGACGCAAACTTGCGATGTACAAGGCTTGCACTCCGTACTGTATCACACTCGGGTAAACTAGCACATACATCTGCTAATACGTATTGCTGTGCAATCAAATCCTCAGGCCTTGCAGGCACGTTCAAGGCACGTCTTGTAGAGTACTTCGTCCATGCACTGTGGAATTATATGCATTATTGCTATAGGTCGACTTTGAAGGTACCATGGAAGCTTTTAGCCATCTTTTCCTGTTCGTTTTATTGGGCATTGAATATTTATCAAGAAATGCTTTGGCTCAGCGTTATGTTTCGTGTAAGTAATGCCGCTCAAGTATTAATTTTAGAGGGAAACGTTTATACCGTAATGCAAATTCCTCGTTCCAAGATTTCAATTTGGCAGTCAAGTAATTTCTGCCGCGATTTCTTTGTTAGAATATTTCTCCAGTTATTTTATTCAGCGGCTGTATTTTGAAATATTGATTTTATTTACTAATTTTGGCAACATTTTACTTGTATGGATGGTATCGAAGTTAAGTCACACTGTGGACTGGCGTTTTGACAATTACAGATCCGGATCTGGAGAACACGTGCAACCAAACTATGGTAATGATGTCGTTGGGGTGCCCTGGTACCTTCAGTGGCACAGCCGGAACCTTCCGCTATTTCGACATCTGGAAGCTGTCCGAAGGAGAGATGTGCTACTTTAACGTTTTTATGGACCCTAGCTGCGGCATGTCATCTGCCAAGTTTGCTTTTTATTTCAATATCAGGCATGTAATTTTTGTTCTAAGTTGCCTGCAATACGTGCGACTAGTTGTTGCTCGTAACGTATATATATACAACGTCCCACCACTCATCTCCAAACCCTGCCTGTAGGAAACTCAGGCTTCCGGCGGGCGACCATTTGGCAATCTACGAAACCCGAGACGGATCCGCATTTTGATCCAGCAGTTGACTGGCTACATGACTCAGTTCCATAATCCTTCGACCGTCGCGCAAGCACTGACATCGTACGCTCAACAGCCATCCTTTACGTTCGAGTACTTCCGCAACTCATCACGTCCCCACGGTCTGGACGAGGTGTACATCGACTTTGTCGTCGCTGAAGGTACAGCGCCTGAGTTCATTAATGAGACAAAAATTCCTCGGTCTGAATTTTAGTGAGGTTACTGCAGTTAATTATAGCGCGACTATTGCAGATACGTCCCATCCCCGCAACATCTGGTGCAAGGCACTGCACGGTTACGTCAGCGATGAATATTTCTGTGACAAGGACGAGGAAAATGATCGGGTCAACTGTCCGGACAGTTTTGCCGCCAGTGTGAACGGGTACAACCCGGCACTCTGGTGGCAGTGTGAGCGGCAAAGAGCTGTCGCGCCCAGTCACCACGGACTAAACTCTGGGGACATCAACGGAATCGTCATAGGGATCGCCATACTTTTACTGGTTTTGATCGCGATTGCTGTGACTCCCCCGGCCCGCTTGCTCCAGCTACAGACCTCCACTGAGAAGACTTCGGCTGAAATCTGCAATATTAGTCGGTCAGTTGATAAAGACGAACACGAACCTTTAATTTCGGCTCCGGCGCTTACGCGAGCGCCGCCATCGTATGCGGAAGTCACCGCTTCACCGCCACAGGATACCTTTACCATGCCTCAGACAGCGGTACCACAGATACCTAAATATTAATTGTTGCAGTTCGAACAACTTTTTTTTCTGCGATACACATTATGTCTGTCAAAATGCCTTAATAAATAAGCTTGCCGTAATAAATATATAAGTTTGATAGCTGATACCGGGTTCTTTGCTAACACTTATACTTCAAGTACTCATATCTCTCTGGAAACGCAAATTTAAATTATTAGTGCTGTACAGAATGCTTGTTATGTGCTACGCCGGGTTGCTTATTGAATTTATACTGCTGTAATACGGTAGGTGCGCCATTAACATAACGTCCTCTTCTGCTACTGATTTTTTTATTCTTTGTAATTTACAGTGCGGTAGTGGGTAGAAAACAAGCAATTTCCGAATGCACATAGATCGAAACAGCTAAGGACTCACAGCAGGTGCGTACATGCATATCGATAAAATTGACAAGTTAGGTACGCACAAAATAACGCGTGCTGTATACAGGAGTCAGGAGTGTCCGTATGTTACTGTCTGCATTCGACATAAGGGTACCGCTTCTGTTTACAATGATTACCGGGCAGTTTATTCCTTGTTCTGCGTGTTGTCGGCACTAATTGTGTTTGCTGCCGATGCGTGCATGACGCTGTTATATTCTTACTGCAATAACTGTTTATAGCAGCTGTGTTCGGTGTTCACACTTCATCAAGCTAATGGTCACGGATTTCAATTCATTATTATTTCATTACTGTATTGAGCCATACGCTGGATGTAATTCTATGGTGCTCCAATTTCCATCATGTGCCAATGTTTTTGATAGTACATAATTAAACCCGACGCTTTGTTAATGGCTACGTTTTAGCGGGACAACAAAGAATGGCATATGATTCAGCTGATTCAGCTGGACGCCTGGACGTACCACGCGTTCCCTGAATCAAGTTACATTTTTGTCCTATTATCCTAAACGTATCAGTTAAAAAAAGTTTACATTCACTTGACCTACAAATCATTAACGCAGCCTTTCGACCCTGAATCGTCTAAATCTCGATCTGATCCTGAAATACTCAGTGAGCGATTTAACTGGTGGCGATTCTGCCTTCACCGATCTGTCATTCACCTCGGCTGAAACATTTCGTCCATTTGAGTGCAGATCTCTAAAATCCGACCTAATCAGCAACTGCAGCTCGTTACTGGCATATTTACAACATGAACCGGACTAACACCACCAACGCCACCACTCCCACCGCTTTCGTGGCCGCTTCGGTCCCGTCCATCGGCATCTGCCGCATCGTCATCCTCATCAGCCGCTTCGTCCTCAACTCCATTGTGCTCAGCGTGTACATTGCTCGGCGCAAAATGCGCACACCTTTCTCCGTATACATCATGTCCCTCCTAACCAGTAACCTCCTGGATCTCATTCTGTTCTTCCCCTTTATGATCGCCAACAACCTCGGAACGGACGCCAGTCATTTCGTCTTCGGGGAAACCGGCTGCGCGGTATACGGCTACGGCGTCGCTATAATGCGCTGCTGTTGTTTAGCATCACACGCACTGATCACCCTGAACCGCGCCTGGGCCATGACCTTTCCCATCTCCTATAAAAACATTCATAGTTCCCGTTTTGCGGTAGCATTATGTGTCGTTGTGATGGTGGGCATTCACAGTTTAATGGTTCCCGGTCTCGTGTTAAGCGAGCAAACCCGACCGCGTCCCGTGCAGACGTACGGCTGCTGGTACCAAGTGAGCCGCTCAAAATCGATTTTGAACTTATTAAGCACGATTGGATTCTTTTTATTCTACATTATGCCGGTGATTATCGTGGCGATGTATCCGTATCTGTTCTTCAAATACCTTCAAGCCAAAAAAAGAGTCGCCGGACAAGAAGGTCACCAGGGAGCCCCGGCCGAGTTGAAGGCTAGCCGCACATTCGGGATTGTCTCCATGCTGTCGTTGTCGATCATTGTTTGTTGGCTGCCGGAAGAGCTGGTGACGCTACTGATGAGCTACGTGGGCAGCCGGAGCGTCATCCGAGCGTATCCGATTGTCAGTCTGCTGAGCTCGTTTCAAGTGCTACTCGATCCGCTGTTTCTCCTGGTGAGCTCGCGCGAACTGCGCTACGGGTTGATGAGTATTCTGTGCAACAAGAAGTTCATGGCGGAACGAGCCGGTACATTCAATATGGTGACGTTTGCGCGCAGCAACACGAAACATCCCACAATGAGCACCCGTATTTACAATTAAAAGGATGATGATGGAAATAAACAGGCATTTCTCACAATACATGTTTCACACAAGTGACACAACCCTTAAGCTTGAATACGGTTTCTTGTTACGTTTCCTCCGTCAAAATGAATGGACTATATAGTATGGTTTCCTATTAAAAGCGTCCATAGCTGATTTTCGTGACTGTGAGACTAACAAAAAAAGCGACAAAACAAAAAACATCCATTGGTTGAGCCATATTGCACAAAGCTGCTAAAAACCACCAGTAGTGGAAATCATGGGGATCTAATAAATGGAACTAGTTATTTTAACTTGCAGTGTGTAAATACAAATATATACATGTTTGCAACTATTTTACTACAGCGGCGGAACCTGACTTATACCCTTGATGAGACAAATCAACAAGAATTTAATTTTTGCATATGAGGAAAACAAATTAATACCCCACGTTTCTGTATGCCATCATTAAATTTAAATTTAAAAAGGAAGTCGATCTTTTTCTGATTGGTGTGATGTACACGTAGATTTCTTAGCTTTTCTGTCAGGTTGCGAATTTTAGGACGCAGAAGAAAATCAGTGGCCTACGAATACAATTCAAACAGTTTGAACCGAGCACGAGCCGAGCGTTAGTAAATGGAATTATTCATAAACAATTAACGTTCGTGCATCACAGCAATATACTTACTTTTTTACCTCTTGTCTGCTTCAAAACGTGCGCTTGTGTGCTGTGCAGATGGCTCATGTTTTCGTAGGCCTCAAGTGCAGCTATAGATGAAACGCTACACAATACTGGGTCTAAGACTCTCAAGCTTGTTTGCTTAGTTTCGGTATAAGGATGGCTCATATTCCATGCTCGTGCGATATCAAAATAGCTTCTTATTACAGATTATGGGAGAGGGCAAGCATACAGGATGCTGTCGCATGATTTATTACGTATTTTCACTGGAAATCCATGTCCCAGGAGACTCTCTAGCACTCGACGACAACAAGCAAATAAGCTAAAGTAAATAACCGTTCAACGACAGACGCTTCTCCCCGATAACCGATAACCGCTTCTCCCCGACAACCGATAGCTTGTTTGCTTAGTTTCGGTATAAGGATGGCTCATATTCCATGCTCGTGCGATATCAAAATAGCTTCTTATTACAGATTATGGGAGAGGGCAAGCATACAGGGTGCTGTCGCATGATTTATTACGTATTTTCACCGGAAATCCATGTCCCAGGAGACTCTCTAGCACTCGACGACAACAAGCAAATAAGCTAAAGTAAATAACCGTTCAACGACAGACGCTTCTCCCCGATAACCGACCGATAAATTCCTCTTTAATTTGCAGTAAAATGAACCGCAGTAACTCCACTACGAGTTCGACGGCAATTGTGGTGGCAGCCGTTCCGGTTTTAGGAATCATCCGTATTGCCATCCTCATCAGCAGCTTCATCCTCAACGCCATCGTCCTCAGCGTATATCTCATGCGACCAAAACTGCGAACGCCCTTCTGCATCTACATAATCTGCTTGTTGAGCAGCAACATTCTGGAACTGCTCCTGCTGTTTCCCTTCACTATCGCCAACGATCTCGGCACGAACGCCAACCGTTTCGTTTTAGGGAAAATCGGTTGTTCGGTGTATGGATATGGCGTCAGTATAACACGATCATGTTGTCTGTGCTCGCACGCATTGATCACCATAAACCGCATCTGGGCCATGACCTTTCCAATCTCCTATAAAAACGTCCATAGTTCGAGATTTGCAGCTATACTATGTATTTGTGTGATACTGGCGCTACATGCGATTATGATCCAAGGTTTGGTTTTGAGCGAACGGACCCGGCCACGCCCCGTGGAAAAATGGGGGTGCTGGTACCAAGTGCGCACCGGCTCCATCGCGACCTCCGTTGGATTCCATTCGTTTTTCACGCTGCCGGTGGTTATTGTCGCCACCTATCCGTATCTGTTTTGCAAATATTTGAAAGCACGGAAGCAAGTGATGGCGCAGGACGGAAAGAGCGTCGCACCGGCCGATGCGAAGGCCAGCCGGACGTTCGGCGTCGTGACCATGCTGTCGCTGTGCACCATAGTCTGCTGGTTGCCGGAATTGCTGGTGGTTATCCTGATGAATAATGTGGGGACGCGGGCTATCTTCTGGTCATATCCATACGTTAGCTTTTTCAGCTGCTTTCAAGTGCTCTTCGATCCAATGTTCCTGCTGATCACCTCCCGGGAATTGCGCTATGGATTGCTTAGTGTTGTTTGTGGTAAAACGTATGCGACGGAGAAATTGGGAACATTGCAGATGGTGACGCTGGCGCGCAGCAGTGCCAAGCATCACACAGTGAGCTCGCGTGTGTAATGTAATTGTTTTGCGTTTCTGCGTCTGCCTTGCGTTGGCTAACATGTAATGCAGGGTAATGTTGGTTTCTTAGCGGTTCGGCGCTCGACTACATCAACATTCACCAGTTTGCTTTACGAATACTGATAGACATAGACGGTGCAACGCCGGTATCACATTGTAAGGGATAATCATTTGGACGTTGACTGTTGCATGACATTTCCGGTTTCTGGCGAGCGTAGCAGTTATCAAAGCCGTATCGTAACGGTGCTTGCTGAACATGCATTTGCTACGGCATGACGTTACTGTGGTATTATTTTTATAAACCGTTCTTGCAATTGCTTAAACCTTGCTTGCATGCTGGTATAGTTTTGACTTTCGTATTTCTCACACTTCGGCCAACCGCCAAGTGATTTAACTGTTAATCCTTATTTTAGAATTAAACCCGAAATCCTTAGTGTAATGTTGTATTACCAGTTGCACTTCAAAGTTCGCAAACTGCAAACTTCCCCGAAAAATAATCTGATCATTACAAATTAGCAACATAAGTAGCTGGAGTGTGTTGTTGGAGAGGGTGTTTTACGCTCATTGATTATACTCGTAGCACGAGTACGACTTTAAGATAGGTACAGTACAAAAATGTGGACAAGACTGACATCTGTGCATGCAGCAAGAATCAAATGTAATCAATACATGTAAGTCTTAAGAGAAATTTGTAACGAAATATCCGATAATTGGTGGAGACAGTCGATTGGTAAAAAATGTAAATATAGTTCAGTGACAGTGCAAAAGGCTTAAATGCGGGCAACAGCATTGTACTCTGTAAATCGGCATCGATCTGGAAGTATTACAGGCGACTGGTTAGTTTTCCCGTTGAAACATCAACAACAGCCAGCAGCATGAAAAGCGTATGCATACCGGGATGTTGGGGGGAAATAAAGAAAATCTCCAGCTGTGCCAACAAAGGCGCGGCTCCAATTACGCCCAGCAGAAAGATCAGAATAATGGCTAGCAGAGGCATCCAGACGATCAAAACAACCATTATTCACTGCTGACTTGTCGTGTGTAATATAGAGTACAGTCGTGGTAGCCGGTAGGTATCCCGTATCCGTTACGATAATCACATGCCTCGTGGAATTTTTGTTTGCTCATTACAATTCGCCGCTCGTTACGTGCTTAGTACACAATTTGTGCAAAAATAACGGGAAAAATTGCATTCCATCTGTTCCAAATTTTTTTGTGGCACAAGGCAAAATATTAAGGATGAACCGGAGCAATATCACGGTTCCCGGTCCTCTGGTGGTTGCCTCAGCCCCGGCCATCGGAATGTGCCGAATCGGGATTTTAATCAGCAGTTTTATTCTCAATTTTACCGTTCTCAGTGTGTATATTCTGCGACCTAAAATGCGCACTCCCTTTGCGGTGTACATAATTTCCCTGTTAATCAGCAACATTCTGGATCTTCTCCTTTACTTTCCCTTCATGATCGCCAACAACATCGGAACGGACACGAATCACTTCGTATTTGGTGAAACCGGCTGCTCGGTGTTCGGTTACGGCGTGTCGATATCACGTGCCTTTTGCCTTTGTTCACACGCATTGATTACCCTCAACCGCATCTGGGCCATGACCTTTCCCATATCGTACAAAAACCTTCACGGATACCGGTTTGCTGTGATGTTGTGCAGTGGTGTTTTTATCGCGATTCACGCCCTGATGATCCAAGGACTTGTACTGAGCGAGCGAAGCCGACCGCGCCCAGTTGAAAAATGGGGATGCTGGTATCAGGTTCGCACGGGCTCAGTTGCCAATTCCATTGGGTTCCATTTGTTTTATACGGCGCCGGTACTGATTGTGGCCACCTATCCGTATCTGTTTTTCAAATATCTGCAGACCAAAAAACGCATTATGGCGCAAGATGGCCACCATGGACTGCACGATAAGACGGTGAATAAAACTTTCGGGATTGTATCGATGCTGTCGCTGTGCACGATTATCTGCTGGGTGCCGGAAGACGTAGTGACGGTTTTGATGAATAACACTGGAAGCAGAGCCATCATCCGATCGTATCCGATTGTCAGCTTGATCAGCTCGTTCCAGGTGCTGCTGGATCCGCTGTTTCTCCTGATTAGTTCCAAAGAATTGCGTTATGGTTTAATGAGTATCGTGTGTAGAAGAAGGTTTATGGCGGACCGAGCGGTGTCTGTGAAAATGATGACATCCGCTCGCAGTAACACCAAGCCTGTACGTCCAACTTCCAGTACAAAGTTTTAGCATGCGCTAGGCATTTTCATTACTTTATGGGTCAATTCAGCGGCAGAGAGAAGAGGATAATTTTTTTTTGGTAAAGAACGAGCGCTTTGATGATCTTCTTTCTTTCAATGATACGCTGCCTGAAAGCATATACGTACAAATAAAGTGACATGTAACAATATTCAGTACGTTTACAAATGGCCATGCCTGAATTACATGCAGTAGCATATCTTAATATAGCTAGCGTCTCAAAACTCCGGCACCAAATAAAACTTGTTCTGTACATGCTTGTTAAATTCAGCAAGCTGTTATAAAGACAAACGAAATACAAGAAAGGATGAGTTAGGTGGTGGGCGAATCGAAAGATAACGGGCAAACTCGCATCACAGGCATTCGGTTATTACCCTTGACCTTATAGCTCGGGATAGTAGCGGACGGCGGTCTTACATTTTGAGTAAATGAAATTAAATTACGTTTTGAATGAAATGGTAGAGATGCTTGCTATGCGCAACCGGGAACATGGAACTACATAGCGAACTATCTGCCTGGTACGTTATAGTATTTATATCAGTTGCATTTCTGTCTGCCAGTATTCTCAACGGAAGCGTCCCAAAGGCATCGAGTAGCATCTATTTGAAGACGTTTCTGTGAAAATAATTCTGCCGCAGTAGCACAACGCGTGTTTACTGCTCAGTGTGCAAATTTATATGGCGTTTATGTTCCACATTTTCCCCATTCGAAACTCCAATCAGCATGTGATCGATGGTATTCTAAAGACAACTGGAAACGTTAAAACTGCCAGCGCACGGCTGGAAAATACCACATTTGTGAGGAACGTGTTGTAATCTTGAAGACTCACTCAAAAAGATTATTCAGTCTGCACAGAGCACAAGAGAAATAATGAATCGCAACAATTCCAGTGTTGCCACTCCGAACGTCGCCGCATCCGTACCGGAAATTGGCATTACCCGCATCGCTATACTAATCAGCAGTTTCTTCCTTAACAGCACTGTTCTCTGCGTTTATCTTCTGCGCAGAAAACTACGCACTCCCTTTTCCGTATACATCATCTCGCTGTTAACCTGCAATATCCTGGATCTCGTTTTATTCTTCCCGTTTATGATCGCCAATAACATGGGAACCAGCGCTAATCATTTCGTTTTCGGGGAAACCGGTTGTCTAATCTACGCTTACGGTATCGCGATAATGCGTTCATGCTGCACTCTGTCGTCGCACGCGCTAATTACCATCAACCGCATCTGGGCCATGACCTTTCCGGTATCGTACAAAAATATCCACAGTTATCGTTTCGCAATGGGGTTGTGTGTCGGCGTGTGTATTACTATTCACGGCTTGATGATTCCCGGAATAGTTTCCAGTGAGCGAACCCGTCCACGTCCTGTAGAAACATACGGCTGTTGGTACCAAGTGCGCCCGCAGTTTGATTCAAGTACTATGGGTTTCTTTATATTCTACATTATGCCGTTGTTAATTATCGCCACTTATCCCTACTTGTTTTATAAATATCTGCAAGCCAAGAAGCGGGTTGCTGCGCCGGACGGACAAAATGGAAAAACCGGTGAAGGGAAGGTCAGCCGAACGTTTAAAATTGTGTCCGCGTTATCGTTGTGCACCATTGTCTGCTGGGTTCCGGAGGAATTGGTCACCATCCTCAACACGCTTGGGAATCAGGGGAGTATTAAGGCGTATGTGGCGGTCAGCCTGCTCAGCTCGTTTTTAGTGCTGCTGGATCCAATTTTTCTTCTGCTCAGCTCCAAAGAACTTCGTTATGGTTTGATGGCTACCCTCTGCAGCAAGAAGTGTATGACAAATCAAGATGGGACCATGAAACTGGTGACTGTCGGACATAGCAATACAAAGCAGGCAAACGTGAACTCTCGTGTTTAAGTCCTTAAGTCAGGTAATACTGATACCGGGTACGGGCCAATGATGGGCCTCTTCCCTAACGTCTTGATAAATTTGAATTGGAACTTGAGAACTTTGCTTATTACAGTAGCTGTATTTTACGCTTTAAACGCAAACTCGAGCAGTTACATATTTTTGTGGCAGTGATTGTTGCTTTATTGAGTTCAGCTACCTAGCTTTTGAAACTGAGGTGCTGTAAACGGTAAAACAAGTATTTATTCTCCTTTTTATATACTTCAGTATCGGTCTTCTTCTATTTGCTCTTACATTAAAAGAGTTGCACAAAAGGCCATCCGACGGATCCGCACCGGAGTGGTTTATACGAGTACATACGTCAACTTCCTGTCTGACGGATTGGAAGAATCTTTCTGTCAGTTACGTCATCACAAACTACGTACGCAACTGACGTGACGTTGACAGATTCTGACTTACTCTCTGTCACCAAGGTATTTCCCCACCTGCCAGGCAAATGTTCCTCGCCACCTATAGGTCACCTAAACCCCACCTATTTTATATCCGTTCTTTGACATGTGACGTTGTTGTGTAGAACCATCCGTGGACCAATGCGTAGTATTACTCGGGTCCTGGCGCTTTCCCACACATCCAGGCTCTTCCAGTTTCACACAGAATCAAGCGCAATTCGGCCACTTATTGTAACAGAACGAAACGTCTCTGAGTGCGGTGCTGTTTGCGGGCAGTAAAATGAACTACTCGAATACAATGAACTCATCCACTGCGGATGGAATGGTATGGAATGTCCCCGCGCGCGCTCGATTGAGCGCTTGCATAATCCAAACAATTTTAAATGGGGCCATGATCATAGCTTTCATCGTGTACAGAGAACTGCGCACATCCTTCACGATCTACTTACTGTTTCTCTTTTGCGCCAACATCATTTACGCTGTCGGACAGTATCCTCTGGAGGTCATTCGACAGGGCTTCGCTGGCCGCTACTGGCTACCGCACAGCGTGTGTTGTTTGCATAGTTACCTCAACTGGGTCTTTGCTCCCGTACCCATGCATATGCATGTGTTGATCACTCTCAACCGCATCTGGGCCAGCACCTTTCCCGTCTCCTACAAAAATGTACATTCCAAGAAAGTAGCTGTGCTGTTTTGCGTGCTGATGACCGTGTACATTCATCTGGTGTGTTTGCCGGTGATTGTCCTGGATTTCATGTACTATCATTTACCGGAACGACAGTACGGTTGCTTCGTTAATACCGAAGCGCAGAAAGTGCACAGCACCGTCGTAGCCATTGTCAGTACGGATTTGCCGATTCTTGTCGTTGTGGGTGCGTATCCGTTTCTTTGGTACAAGGAATCTCAGAGGAGAAAGACGCGGCTGAGTAAAGGTTCTCTAAGGACAACAAAAACATCGCAGCAAGGAGCCGCTACGGATGTAAGTTCGTCTTATTTTAGTGACGAGGTGTATCAGACCATTCTACTCTAAAAATCCATTCTACTCTAAATTCTACTCTAAAAATGACGCCGTTATACAGAAAAACTGAAAACTGTACAACGTAGTAAACGCTATTAGACTATTATTTTCATAATAATAACGAGAGCAGATACTCATAGGACAAAAAGGACCGTTCCGATTGTTAAATCTTGTAGGTCAACGCCCTCCCAAGAAGAGTTCCTTTTGGTTCGCAGCCGTTTGTAATTTTGACACTGTTGACAGCTAGCGTGGCCATTTGCTGGACCCCTGATCAAGTGTTGTGGACGTTGGATTGCTTGACAGGTGTCGATGACGACTTACCCGGCCTTCGATACACTACCAGTGTGATGTTCGTGCTGCAAGCCGCTCTCGATCCACTTCTTTTTGCTTTGTCGCTTCGTGGATTCCGATTGCTATTATGGAAAGCGATGTTTTGCAGACCGGACCCGAAACAGTGATGTTGCCCAGACGGACAATTGTACACTAAAGCAGGCGCTCGCAAAATAACTCACTAATAGTATACTGCAGAGCCATTACTTTAGAGTAATGTGCGTATACTATTACGACATCCCATCACAATCGGGCTGGATCAAAGTGGTTTCTACTACTGTCAGTCATTCGCTGTTAGCAAATGTTTCGGTTTGATGGATTAGCACAGCAGGCATTTCTGTTCCACCTTGCAAAGTACATCGCATTCACAAGACCAAAGTATCCTGCACAATCTGTCACCTATCACACCTGCCGGGAAAAGGTTCCTCTAGCCACCCAATTATACAACTATATATATCTGGCATACTTGTAAAATTTCCTTGACATGTATTTGTATATCTGTACATTGTACCGTAGCGGTTTGTGACTTGTAAACACCTACCGGAAGCCCAGCACATCCGTACTGGTTTATTTGTACCGGCGTTTTTAAGAAACATCAAAACCACTCTACCTACGATTTGAAAACAGTGACATCCAAGTCAGTCCCACTCTTTTTCATCACTAGCGAAAATGAACAACTCTGACGCGATCCATTCTACCAGTTCGGATGGAATGGTATGGAACGTACCAGCGCGTGCTAGACTAGGCGCTTGCATTATTCAAACAGCACTCAACTCCGCCATGGTTATCGCCTTCATCGTATACAGGGAGCTACGTACATCCTTCACCATTTATTTACTGTTTCTCTTCTGCGCCAACATAATCTACGCCGTCGGGCAGTATCCGCTGGAGGTCATCCGGCAGGGCTTTCCCGGTGGCTACTGGCTACCGCACAGCGTCTGTTGTCTGCATATGTACTTAAATTATGCCTTCGCCCCGGTTGCTATGCACATGCATGTACTGATCACTCTGAACCGCCTCTGGGCCACCACGTTTCCTCTCTCGTACAAGCAGGTGTATTCTAAGAAAGTGGCTGCGTCACTGTGCGTGCTGATGGCCGTATACGTACAGCTTTTATGTTTACCGTTGGTTGTACTGGATTTCTTGTACTATCATCTGCCTGAACGTGAGTACGGCTGCATAGTCAATACCGAAGCACAGGTGGTGTACAGCGCTGTCGTGGCCATTGTCAGTACCGACGTGCCGGTTGTGGTTGTTTTGGGAGCGTATCCGTTATTGTGGTACAAAGAGAAGCAGCGGCGAAAGACCCGTTTGGGTATGAAGGCGGAGATGACGACAAAAACTAACCTAGGAGGTCCTGCCGATGTAAGTTTTTCTTATTGCAGTGCCAATTGATAGAGCAGTAAAAGCGGCATCTTTCTGTTGTGATTATTTGAGCAAGTTAAAGCAGTTACCGTACATAAAATGCTACACATGCCTACAGTATCTTTAAATAGCCCATAAATCGTTCAAGTTGTCACCCGTTATAGGCGAACACTTTCCGAAGAAAAGCTCCCTCTACTTCGCGGCCCTTTGTGATTCTGACATTACTGACATTTAGTGTGACCATTTGCTGGACCCTGATCAAGTGCTATGGACGACTGATATTGTTACTGGAGGTGTTGGTGACTTACCCGGTCTCCGACACACCACCAGCGTCATGTTTGTGATGCAGGCGGTGCTCGATCCCCTTCTGTTTGCTTTCTCGCTTCGTAACTTTCGAATGCACATCTTGAGAATAATATGCTGCAGAGCAAAGCCCAAATAGCTGCGTTGCGAATTTGACTATTTTCAGATAGGTACGATAAAAATAAAATCTGTATACTTTGCAAGTGGGTTATCTTACGCTTACAGCTTCGCCGCCGCTCACACCTTCATGATACGCATTTTATACCAATGCACGAGTACATATGCTTCTCTTTAATTTCCGATTTTCTTTAATTTTTGTTTTGCTTCTTTGTAATACGATAATGGCATTAGCGACTTACTGTAGATAACGATATATTTGCTCCACCTGTTGTTGTCGTATCACCTTAGTAAGCGCACTCACATGTTTGGTTTCTCTCGGGACCAGCCTTTTAAATGAACGCGCTGAATAAATAAGAAAGATTCAGGTATCTTGCAAATGTAACCCGCAGTGCTCGAATTACCCTATTCCCCGCACTGCGATGCGGGTACATGAAATGTGCAACCGCGCGCATGCTGGAAATTTGCATAACAACTAATGGATCGGACTATCAGCCTGTCTACGAGAAACTTAGCAATGCTAGAAACATGTGTACCATAATATCAAAATATCTTTTATGAAATTCAATCAAGTATTCACCAGTGAGGACGACTCAAAGCAATACGCTCAACTACTGGTATTTTTTACCTTGCTGACAAAAGTATAAGGGGTTGGTTAGTCCTGTTTCTATTTGGGTTCTGAGGAAAATATCACGATATACAACAACTGATTCAAGTTTTAACGAAGCCGTGCCAATCATAAACTGCTCAGCAATTAAGAAAGCGCTATATTCATTATGAACCGGAACAATTCCACCACCTCTACAGCATTCGTGGCGGCATCGGTGCCGGCTATCGGAATTTGTCGTATATTCATCCTAATTACCAGCTTCATTCTCAACTCCATCGTTTTCACTGTGTACGTAACGCAATCGAAAATCCGCACGCCTTTCTCCGTTTATATAATCTCCCTGGTAGTGAGCAATATTCTGGACGTTATCCTCTTCTTCCCTTTTATGATCGCCAATAATCTCGGCACCAGCGATAACCATTTCATTTTTGGTGAACCTGGCTGCGTGGTGTACGGCTACGGCATCGCCATAATCCGCTCCTGTTGTTTGTGCTCACACGCCCTCATCACACTAAACCGCATCTGGGCCATGACCTTTCCGATTTCCTACAAAAATATTCACGGTTTCCGCTTTGCCATTTGTGTGTGCATTTTTGTCCTTATCGCTGTCCATTCGGTAATGGTGCCCGGCGTGATTCTGAACGAGAAGTTTCGGCCACGCCCCGTCAAAACATATGGCTGCTGGTATCAAGTGCACGCCGAATCGACAATCAGCTCCATCGGCATTGTTTTATTCTACATATTCCCGCTGATAATTCTCTCCTCGTATCCGTATTTGTTTTTTAAATATCTTCAGACCAAAAAGCGTATTATGGCGCAGGATGCTCGTACGGGAGTACTCAGCGAGAACAAGGCCAGCCGCACCTTTGGGATTGTGACGCTGTTATCATTCTGCACCATTGTCTGCTGGTTGCCGGAAGAACTGGTCACGTTTTTGATGATGGCGACGTGGAGTAAAGGCAGTGTGCGGGCGTATCCCATCGTCAGCTTGCTGAGCTCCTTTCAAGTTTTGCTGGATCCGTTGTTTCTTCTCATCAGCTCCAAAGATCTGCGTTACGGCTTGTTGAGTATGGTCTGCGGTAGGAAGTATATGCAGGAGGAGGTGGCCACGCTGAACCTGGTGACGTTCGCCGCGCGCAGCAACACAAGGAATTACACAATTCAGTCGCATGCTTAAGAATTATTCTCAACTTATCCAACGGTTGCACGGTTTGTTCTTGAGCACGTTTTATCAGCCGAGCCGATTCGATTCGACGACTGAAATTGTGCATGCGTACAAGATTCATGTGCTCACATGTAGCACAGATGCTTTTTTTACGCTGGCTTGCTTCGCGAGCGGGCTTAACCGACCCGCAGTGCAAAATGCTACCCTTGGCTTGGTTTGTGCGGTGCAGTCTTGAATTTCCTAGTGCAAATTACGTAACGCTGACAAGTTAAATACCGTAGCATAAGGCATACCGACTGTCATCTAGGTATCCAGCCCAGCAATGTCTCTCTACTCGATAGTCATTAAAATTTTATAAACGACCCTTTTGACATCAATATCCGTTCTTTTTGCACGTAAACTAAGCGTATTCAAGCAGTTACCATGCCGATTCATACATGTACATCGATCCTGCCATTTTTGTACAGTCGCTCGCGGAGCAAACACAAAGTCAGTTCCGCCACGATTTAAAAAGTGAAACGCCTAAAGAGAGATCCCTATCGTTAGCCGTAAACATGAACGATTCTAGTACAACAAACCATTCCATTATTGCGGATGGAATCGTGTGGAACGTACCGGCACGGACTAGGTTGATTTCTTGCATAATTACAACACTACTGAACGCGGCGGCGATCATTGCGTTCGCCTTATACAAGGAACTACGCACATCCTTCACAATGTACTTGCTGTTCCTCTTCTCCTACAACATTGTGTACACCGGCGGACAATATCCCCTGGAAGTCATTCGACAAGGTTTCGCTGGCCGCTACTGGTTACCACACAGCGTGTGCTGCCTGCACATGTACCTCGTGTGGGTCATCGCCCCGGTGGCTATGCACATGCACGTGCTGATCAGCCTGAACCGCATCTGGGCCAGCGCCTTTCCTATCTCCTACAAACAGGTGCATTCCAAGAAAGTGGCTGTCATCCTGTGCGTGTTAACGACCGTGTACGTCCATCTGGTGTGTTTGCCGGTGATCGTTCTGGATTTTATATACTACCATTTGCCGGAACGACAGTACGGCTGCTTTATTAACACCGAAGCGCAGACTGTGTACAGCGCCATCGTGGCAATTATCAGCGGGGATGGCCCGATTGTGGTCGTGGTGGGGGCGTATCCGTTTCTGTGGTACAAGGAACTGCAGAGGAAAAAAAGACGGTTGGGGAAGGCGTCACGATTGATGACAATGATGTCTCGACTGGGGACTAATACAGATGTAGGTAGTCACTAGGTACCAGCAGCTTATACCGCTGTCAGGAGGTGGCTGCTGCTAAAAACAGGAATGGCCGAATTAATTTAATTTAATCCGAATCAGAGGAGGTAGCACATTTCCGGCTAGGATGATAATCATTTAACACGGAATTTTTAACCCGGCTCGTTCTGTTCGTTATATTGTGAATGTATAACGATTTCACTAACATGTAATACCAGCAGCGGCTTTGTAGTGATCTTATCGAGCTTCGTACACAGCTATTAATGCAGATGCGCACTAGTACTGTAAATCAAAATTAACGAAATGCGCTGAAATTGTTGCACCTTATAGGCCACCCATCTTCCAAGAAGAAAACTTTCAGTTTCGCGACCGTTTCTGATTCTGACACTATTGACAATTAGTGTGACAATTTGCTGGACCCCTGATTATGCCGTGTGGACGGTTGATATTTTTTGGGGTGTGGGCGATCAACCCGGTCTGCGAAACACCACCAGCGTAATGTTTGTGTTGCAAGCGATCCTTGATCCCATTCTGTTTGCCGTGTCGTTTCGCCGCTTTCGAATGCTACTGTTGAAAATATTGTTCTGCAGATCTAACCCAAAATAGCTGCTGTATTGGTAGTTGAATAATGTTGCAAGCGGGATAAGAGCACGGCACTGTTGGAGTTTTGGACTTCGAAACAATAAAGAATTAAATCTTCACTGGCTGTGGCATTTCGCTTGACAGCCCCCAAACTGAAACTTTGTTTAAAAACAGCTGCAAAGGCGCTTCTTTTGTGTTCCCCGTACCGTTACTTCAAGATTCTCATGGCACAAAACATGCATCACTGCTTAAAAATTAGATTACAGTAGAACCAAGTAGCCAAGCTCTTTAATCATATCATTCCGTTAACTTTCTTCCGGTCCATAAAATGCGCAACTTCCCTCTGCGTCACATTTGCATTCATAACTCGTTTAATTTATCGATTTAATATGATATATTTACTCATGAATATTTATTTGTTTATTCTTTATTGTGAAATTTTTGCTCGTTGTGTAATAAAAGTACCAACTGCTATCTATGTGCCCCTTTTTATGTGATTTGCCACCTTGTAATGCGCGGATATATCACTGGTTTCTGTGGTTCCCAGAGCAGCCCCCGCAATGATCGAGTTGATTAAATAGAAGAGATCCTGGCAACGTGAAAATATACAGTAGCTGCAGTACCCGAATTGCGACCACCACGTATAATCTGCGAGTAGCTATAATGCGGGTATGTTACACTTGCATAGTCCTCCATTGTCGGCAATTGAATAACAAATATTGGATCATGTGTCGGCCTGTCGAGAAGGAAACAACGAGCGTCCAAAACACGAGTGTAACTGTACCCTGTACAACAATACGAATAGAGATGTCAGATGGCTCTGTGCTTCTGCGTAATTGAGTGAAGTGTTCATTAGTAAACAGGCAAATACACCGGTCGTAATTATCATGTTATTAAGTTTATAATTCGACTAGAATTTATTCCCTTTTTATTTCAATCTCGATCAAATTATCATTATATACTCTGTAACTGTCAGTGTACCAATTACTAACTGCAAATGTGAAAGCTCTGAACGTCATCGAATTCTTTCTTTTTATTCCTGTTAATGGTTTCGGCGCTAACAACAATCACTACATTTTCAGCAAACCCGGTTGTGTTGCGTACGGCAACAGCACTGCCAGTAAAAGCAGTACTCGTAATCGCTTCTGTTGCCAGTGTTTCCATGCCTTTCTTACTACCATCCCCATTCTGCTCCTGACCGTTCCTGTTTTCCTAGAAAGATTTTAGATGAATCTCGCTTATCGAGATTGAATTGCCGTTATTGTTTGGCGTGCACCAGCAGCACGGCGAATCAGACATTTCAGTCGGACGACTCAGGGTAATCGCATGGACTTTTGTGGCGTGGTACGTATGTTGTACCGCCCGTACATGTACCTGTTATTTCCTTTGAAAGTGCTCGCTGCGTGCACCGCTCCCCAAAAGCGGCTTTATTTAGCATGAAAACGAATAAGCGGCTTAGCATTTAACGGATCCCGTGGACGTCATAACTACCACTCTGTACTCTTAAGTATTATTTTTAAAATGCCTTTTCAGAAATCATTTCCGGGTTGGCTTCGATCTTTCCATTATTGAACGACTACAAATAGAAAGTTCCAATGACGACAGTATAATAAATCTGTGATAACAATTTTTTTGATGTGTAATATCTAAACCTCCGCCTAATAACCAAATAACTTCAGAGGAGCTCACTGAAAAAAAATAAATCTGTTCTTCTAGTCAGCATAACAATTTCGTGTGGCAGAATATTACGTTAACGTCAAGTCCGCCAGAAACAAAACGATAAAGCACAACCAGCACAGCACAATTCAAACTGCTGCAGAACTGACGAAGTTAAAAACAAAAAGTTTCTGCGCTGAAAAGGAAAGCTCCCAATAACGTAGTCGTTTTGCAAAAATATTCTGATCTATGATTTAACGGTAAAGATAGGCAGTAGCCGCTGTCTTTAGACGTCGCTTTGCCGGCTTTCCTTTTTTTCCATCTGCAAACGGCGGATGCATTGCATAGCGGCCTGACGCCATTGCTTTGACGCCACCATACACAACACCGGACTCAGGGTGCAATCCAGGGCAAATAAAAAATTAACCAGAGCCAGCATCCTTACATCCATAGATCGTGTTGTTGTCATCCCCAAAGAATATACCACGTGACCCGGCGTCCAGAACAGCAGAGAGTTGACGAAGAGGATGGTCAGCACCGCAAAATGCCGATTGCGATTCTGTGCACGGCTACCTTCGTGGATGTGTACTTTTCTGCGGGGAGTGCTCACTTCCACCGACGATTTGCCGTTTCGAGTCACAGAACCGCCAGCTTTCTGCACTGACTGTTTAATTGTGACAGCGTTGGTTTTGCGAAGGATTTTTACTTTCCAAAAGACTACTGGATAAATAATGGTGACTAGCGCCTGTGGTAACGGATGCGTGATATATCCGTACAGAGCACGATAGAAGTAGTCGTGAGTGTAACCGAAGTTGTACATGCATAAATGTCCGAGAACGGGTCCACGCGCGCGACAGTCGTGATCGAGAAATACCGGTAACGACAGCGCATTAATAACGACGACAACTGCAATAATCAGGCAAGCCGCTAGTTTTCGCGTGTGCCGCACTCTGTAGCTAAAGGGAAAGGTCACCGCCCAGAGCCGGTTGACGCTAATCAGGACATGTATACATACGACACACGCACTGGTAATCTGCGCGCAGTATAGGTCAAATAAACACCAGTATTCGCCGAAAATCCAGCGCAGTTTAAGGAAATTGCTGATATGCGCTACGTTACTGGTGCAAGATTTAATGAAGTCGAACGCCGACAGGGTCACAATGTAGCTGTTAAAGGGCGTCCAGAGTTGTGCAGAGTTAATGTAGACTGCCAGAAGAAAACTGTTACTACAGTAACTGATTATAGCCAGAATCATGTATAGATAACCCATGTAAACGGTATTTGGTGTTACAGGCACAACATCCGTGGTTGCATTGGACGTGTTATACATTTGATAACTCTCGTTGCCCAATGATGAGTTTATACGATGCCCGCTAACAAAAGGATTGTAAGGGCGTAAAACCATTTTGTCACCTTTAAGGAGCTTTTTACTACAAACTGCGAAGTCTGTCTAACGTTTCGCAAACCCGAGCTATGGAAATGCAGAACTTCAGAATGTGGTTTCTGCAGCGTATCAGCGAA